TTCTCTATCTAATAATCAGTAGGGACAGGGATAGATGCATCTACAATTACATCCAGAATATGTCGCAAAGAACTCTTGGGTAAACATCTTTAACTAGTCAATTAAAGAAAATTATTTAAAAAATAACTTTAAAAACTTATATTCACCAGCCTTTTCAAGCAGTTAAGATGCCTTCCCTACAACATAATAAGCATTATAATTTTGAAGACCTTAAAACCAGAACTCTACCTTACTTTTATTTTTATTCCTCCCTTCTCTCCTTTGAATCTCCAAAATTTCATGATACTGCACAGTGACTTCATGAATCATCAGCAAGCCAGATAGATTTATACCCATAATGTACATTCTAATGGCTAAAGTTCCTTTTGCAGACTTTCCCAACAAAACAAAAATAAAAATTATCTTGCCTCTAATCAGCCATGTTCTACTTGTTTTGTGATACTCCATAAATGTTCTCCTATCACAGCCAAGGTAACACACTCTACTCGGTCATGGAGTTCCCCTCAGTTGTCCTCCAGCTCTTTTTCTTCCTGCTTCAGTGTTAATAGCACCCACTTAAAATATCACAGTCCCTCCATATCTTCATTCAACTTGATTAATCTCATTTCCCACTCCTAACAACTTCTGTTTTAGCCAGTCCCAGCCAGCCTTCTGGCTTCCAGTTTTTAGCTGAAACTGAGATTTTTGGGGATCAAATGATTCCCTGCAGGAGGGGTGGTCTTGCTCACTAGTCCTTTCTGCCACACTTGCATGTCCTCCCTCATCCTAGCTCTGGTTTTCATCAGCCCACTGTGACCTGTTCACTCAACCAGCCAACGTTACTCACCTCTCACCTTGCTGGCTCAGTTTTCAGCTTGTTTAGTGATTTGATTCAAATTACCAAAAAGCAAGTAAAAACACCAAAGTTGTTGAAGAAAAGGGGAGGAAAAGTGAAGAGAGGAGGCCTTCAACGGAAGAAGGAAAAGAGTAAAAAGAATGGGTCTGTCTTTTCAATCCCATAAGTCTCAGCCATTTTACCTAACACAAACCTTAATCATTCAGTTCTAGTCCGAGTTTGGTTTAGTTTCTCTACAGTTGTACTAACTTTGGATTTCTGTGTTTTCTGGGTATCTTCTTCCTTCACAACTACTAGATACCAAAAACAAGGAGTATCATTCATTGGCTGGGGATAGGGTGACATCATCCTTCTCATCCCTTTCTTGCTTTCACCATTCCTCCTTGGCAGACTTTTATTCTTTTTTTCCACATTAGGAGTAAAATATACATCAGAAAGTGTGGTGAATAACCCTTGCCAGTCTCATCCTGACTCAAAGCACAGTTACCAGCCACTGTCCTGGAAGCTATGTCATAACCAGTGATTTTTAAGTTTCCTGCTCCAAATAAAATTAATTTCAATAACTGCTAAAAATTCCCTGTATCTTCTTTCTCTTACTTAGTAAATAGTAATACTTAGTATATTGATGTCATTCAGTATTAAATTGGTAGAATAGCTCTAAAAATTTTCTCCCTAGTTTTTTCTACTGCTGTAGAAACTTTGAGAGAGAAGCAGTGACAGGAACTAAAACATCTCAGAAAATCCTTCCCTGAGACCATGAATCTGATATTCAGACACACTGAAGATCTTTTCAAAGGCTTCTCCAAGACTACAAAAGCATGATGTACTTCATATTAGAGTAGAAAGAATTTAATACAGAAATGCAGGAAGTATGTTTCTGAGGATTTAATAAATGTCATTCTATGAGAAATTTTAGTGTTTGTGCTTCTGCTTTTGCTGCTTGTACCTGAGCCATTTATAATTCGAAAGCCCTAAGTTAGTCTAAAGCTTTTTCTTAGAATTTTGATAATTCAAATAGAACTATTGCATGCTAATGCAGGAATTTTGATTCCCCATCCCACCTACAGAGATAATTGCCAAATAATTATTGTCAGACTATAAATTATTCCCAGTTAACTATTAACTTACTAAGATGAAAGCTGTGGTCTATTCCCATGACCAATAGTTGCACTTCAACAAGAAGAGCCAGTAAACTGTACTTTCAAATTAACTACTAAGAGAACTTTGTGCAATGAAACTATGCTATATGTGCCATATATGTATCTATATATATATATATATATATATAAAGAAACTGAATTTAAGAAAAAGTGGTAGTACAGAAGTCAGGCAATCTGCCTTAGTTGTTTCAGTTTTGACTAAAGGAATATTCTCCAATTATTGAGAAAGTTTGTGAAGAATCATGATTATAAATGACAGGAAAAGAGAATTAAAATTATGTGTAGAGCTGTATGATGAGTCCAATTTGTAATTGAAACTAATATATTAGAATATTTAACTAATTAATGATATTTTCCAAATGCTAACTTACACAGGTAACAAAAGGCTCCAAAAGTTTTTCAGGAAGAAGTAGGGCACACTGTGACATCAATAAAACTTTGAAAATATATTCAGAAGGCCATCATTTTTGCCATGAAGCAAATCCTTCAATTAACCTGACTGATAAAAAGTTGACCAAAATTCTCAATAATTCTTAATACTTACATAATTTAATAACCGACTGGAATTGAAAGAGAACATTTCACAATAATGCCTCATTGAAGACAAATCTGAAAAAAGTCTTGAACTCTGCTCTTCACACATGGGAGGAATCTGATAAGAATCAAACTGATAAGAATCAAAGGAGTGAAGGTTTTTAATTGTAAATCTTAATATTATTTAAATTAACTAAAATTGGAGATACATAATTTGTCTCTGAACTACAGTTAGTTAGTTATTATTCATATATGTTTACAGAATAGTGGTATTCCACCCAAATACTCTGTCAAGATGAATGATTCCACCCCTGGCTCAGATGGAAATGGAAGTCATCATCCCAGATCCAGAGACATAGCTACAGTATTATATATACCAGCAAATATATTTTAACTTTCCTTAAAGTCACAGATTTTTCTGACACACCCGTAATAATGTTGGCATGCAATCATACTTGAAAATGAAAAAAAAAAAAACCAAAAAAACCACAAACCAAAAAAACCCCAAAAAAACCTTGTGATATTTTCTGTCTGTATTAATGTTGCCAGGTAAATGTAAACAAGAAGTAAAATTGGGCTTGTCTGCTTTTCTTCTCTTCACAAATATTTTTCTGCTCACTAGCCATGATTTTCAGCCAACAGATGCCATTAGTATGTATGTGAGTTGTTTTGTTTCTTGTAAAACCATTGTGGGTTAAGCCCAGTGGGAAAATAAGCACCACACAAAGTCTCATTCCCTTCCTCCTCCCTTCCCCCAACTGGCATGGGAGAAGAGGCACAGAAAAGCCCCCAACAACTGGGGGTCAAGATAACAAACAGAAAATTTGTTTAATAAGTGAAAGATAAGAGGAAAAAAAGGGAAGAAAAAAAATGAAACAAGTGATGCTACAGCAATCACTCACCACCTCCCATGGGTAGACTGATGCCCTGCCAGGTCCCAAGCAAAAGATGGTTAACCCTTCTAAAGCCCCCTCTTTGCGCTTTTATTCCTGAGCATGACATTATGTGGCAGAGAATTTCTCTTTAGTTTGTCTGGGTCATCTGTCAGGTTGTGTCCCCTCCCAGCCTATTGTGCAGCCCCATGTCTATTCACTGGGGGGATGCAGAGTGAGAAACAGAAGGGATTGATGCTGTGCAAACACTGCTCAGCACAAGCTAGAACATCCCTGTGTTATCGAAACCACTTTCATCACAAATCCAAAACACTGCCCCATACAAGCCTCTGTAAAGAAAATTAACCTATCCCAGGACAAGGCAGTACAACAGTCCAGCACAATAGGTACAGTCCCACATCCAACAATTCTAAATTATACATTAAGTTAAAAAATACTAATGTAAAACAGAGAGAAAAAGATTTGCTGTGCTACTTTATTCTTAAAAAGGGGTGAAATTGCTGGTTTTGTCAGCTAAACCAGCTTACCAAAAGGTATGATGGTACAAGATGAGAGGGGTAGGGACAGCACAGCAGGAACCAAGAAAGGAATGAAAGAAGAGCATAGCACGCATCTCTTCAGCCTTGTCAACTCACCAAATAGCACTTTAAATTTGATTTAGCCTTGAGTGGAACTAGCACAACTTCTAGAAGTAGCAGGAATAAATGCAAACCTTATAGACAGTATTCAACACACTCTGGCTAAGGTAATGGTTTCACATCCCTACACACCTCCCCTTTTGGAATCTCCCTTTCATGTCATTTTGCACTGCCAGCCCCCCATAAGACAGAGGGAACAGTCTGAGCCACACCTAGGCCACTGAAGAATTAGGTCCTTCAGCCTTCCCATTTCTTAAATTAAAAATGAAGGGTATAGACATTGATGTTCTAGCTAATAAAAGTAGCTATTCAGGATGTCATATAATTATGCATTTTTACACAGTATATCTTTATAAATATACCCATGCACTGTAGTCAAATACATTGTAACATGACTCCTGCATGCAATCATTTTGAAAACAAGCTTTTTCTTACAGAATTTACATGTACCTCTTATAGCTAAAAGGGCAAAGCACCAGTCCTATACTTAAGGACTAAGTAAATTACCTTGTTCAGAAAATATTCTATCAGTAAAGACAAACAAGCAAACATAACATTTTGGAGAATGGATGTTACTATAACATTTTGAAAGACTAGAACACAGCACAGGAAAAACAGGAAAATAAGCATGCGAACTTTTTTCATTTTGTACAGAAAGATTTTTCCTTAATTTGGCTAAGAGGTCATTCAGTAAAAACAGAACTGAAAATAAGCTGACATAAAAAATGTACCTTGAGACTTTTTATAGCTGTAACTTTTGTTTAAAAACTTCAACAACTTTTCACCCAATCTGTAAGTAGTGAAGAATAATTTAACATAATATTTATTATTAACAGCTGGTTTAAAAAAAAAACCCAAACCAAACAAACCCAGGAAAAACCCCAAGGCTTTCATGCTTGATTGATTCTGTTAGTTTTAAAATGTATAAAATAGTACTGACCTGGACAGAAATTCTGCTGTGTCCAAGTAGTTAATTTTTCTTGCACAGTACACTTTTCAAAATGTCCTGCAGTTGCATTCTGATGTAGGCCCCGTTGTCTGCTGGCAAATCCCAATTCTCCAGAATCAGAAAACTTCCGAAAAAACTGTGGCTCCAAATCACTGAAGGAGAAGTTTATAGCACCGTGCCTTCCATGGCCATAGTCACTGAACATGGATTCGTCCTCGGTGTTCTGTGTTGGTAACGGGAGGATCCGGTGATGCAGCTGCGGGCTGGGCAGTCTCGAAGATAACGGAGAAGGAATAGGTGACATTTGTTTGTGTGTATTAGATAGCGGATATGAATTACTAAAAACATTACTCACTGCTGCTAATGGGGGTGAATGCAGCCTTTTCTCTTCCAGTTTAAGATTATTACTTGTCTGAGGAATATCAGGACTTTCATTTACAGGCAGGTTCAAAAATAAATGCTTGCTGTTTCCCCGGGATACCGTGGTCCTTTTCTCATACAGTGAGCCTGGCAGGTTTCTGTCTACTCTTGTAATTTGTTGCAGTCTCTTCCATTCTGCAGCTTCATCCAAACTGTCGCTCCGGATAACTTTCAGAAGAGCTTTATTAACTGCTCCCACAAGGTTGCATGACTCATCAGTAATGTGCACTCTCTCTGCTTTGTGCTGCAAACCAGAGCCGTCTTCCTCCTTTTCCTGCAGCACACTGTTATTAGAGTCTCCAGCAGCTTCATCTACAGAGTATACATCACTTCTTGATATAAACTCATTATGTGCTCTTATGAGAGCAGGAGAAATGGTTTCATTATCTCTGTGAGAATCAGGTAAAGACTCTGCAGGGGGGTTGGTAACTTTTTTAATGTCGAAATCCTGGACTTCAGCAAGAACTGTAATTCCTGGTTTCTCCTTGCACACTGGCTCAGCACACTTGCTACTTTTCAAGATTTTAGCAGCTGCCGATTTACTTAATGTCTCGAGTTTGTTAAAGAGACTACAGTGAGATGAATTCACCAAAGTGGTCCCCTGTTGTACCTTGGTAACTTCAGGAACGCATTCTCCATTTTCCACTGGTTCAACTGCAACAACATCATTGATGTCTTTTGAGCTAGAACTTGGTAAGTCAGCATCCAATTTCACAACTTTGCCGCTTTTAAGAAAATACTCCTCTTCTATCAACCTTTCTGGTTGTATTTTGTTGTCTACTGGTAAATTATCCTTACCTTTTACTGTTAGCCAGCTGGAGGGAGAAAAGGAGCTGGGATAACTGCTGGTAGAAAGTCTTGTGGAGACCATCTTCTTATTTTTCTGTTGCATGTCTTGTGTACTCAGTAAAAAAAGATGTTCATGCATCTTTTTTCCCTCTTTCCGATGTCTGATCTCCTCAAAGCTCTCTTTCCTTCTGTATTTCCTCATTTTTTTGTGATTCAAATTGTCTCTCTTTGTAGAATCCAGCAATAGCTCCTGCTGACATGTAAGAATGGAGTAATTATCACCTTTAAGTTTCGGGACTCCGGAAACATCCTGTCGCTTTTCCTCCTGATGTCCTGCCTTAAGGTCCGGAATATGATGGGATCTCAGAACACTGGGTAACAGTTTTACCTTTTCAGCAGTTAGTTTGTACATTTCATTCAGAAGATCTTTTGTGGTAGCTTGCTTGAAAATAATAACTCCACGATCTTTATAAGGCTGTTCTCTCAGGGCCATGTCTAACCTCTCCCTCACTTGATAGCAGCCACAGAAATTCTTACTGGTTCTATCCGGAGTTCCAGAGCCCATGTAAGTAAATCCTGAGACTTTCCCATCTGGATGATAGAAGCTGATGTAACAAAGCTCCGTAATGGGTTTGTGCAACAGGAGGATGGTATGCGTGCCTTCCATTATGCTTGCCAAATTAGTCATTCATTTAAATTATGTTCTAAGTGTTCCAAAGCTTGCATGACATAGCATGTGAGGCAGGGAATGGACGGAAGGCATCTGACTAATCTTCAACAACAATATTGTCTCCTGGAAAAAATAAAGAGAAGCCTGTCAAACTTGATTATGGCAAATTTAATATGACAAATAACAAGCCTCCAGAAGCACAATGCTCTTTCAGTATTTTGTGATACAAATCTTTTACCTTGAAAATCTGACACAAAAACAATGACATTGCTAACACTCATAGTTGGAGTCATAATCTTTCTCTCGCATACCTCATTCCTCTGTCTCCAGGGTTCTCAGTCAATGCTATGCCATCAGGTCACAAGATGGTCACTAAAACATCCATTTTCAAAGAGACATTACTTTGGAATGGTAGAATCTCTTGCCTTCTCTCTGTTAAAAGTTAACTTGCTGTTGAACATTTAGTAAAAAGAGCCATTCAAGCATGCCTGTTGCCTTTTTACTCAGCACAACTACCAGCATAACACCGTCACAATGTAACTAGGTCTCCTTGCTTTATCTATCAAGAAAATATTTAGAAAATAAAAAAGGTTGAATATTTTCTTCTTGTACTATTTTGTGGAACTCCCAAGACATCAAGAAAACTTGGAATAACAAAAAAAAAAAAATAGGTTCTGTTTACTTGGCTAACATACAGGTACTAAACAAATCTACTTTGGATCAACATAGATTGTGTAATTATGCTTTTACAGGCAGATTTATTGAACTTTTTTATTTTCTATTATTTTCATCACATATTTTCTTCCTACAGGTTGGATATATTTACATTCTTCGCATAATGGAAGTTTGCTTGCTCCTTTTGAGAACTAAATTGGTTTTATCCTGAAGGAACTCTGCTACCCCAATTAAAGTGGAGAAGTCTGAAGTCATTAGGAAATGCATAAGCATCAGGGAAAGACCTAAAGCTCAGGAGCACAAAAAGCTGGAGAACACCTGCTCCCACACTGAAAAATGAAGGAATTTCAGTTTTCAACTGAAAAAGCATAAATACAACATAACTTTTCATAATTTTAAGAGTCAAACTCAGGCAACAGTATTTAAAAGGAAGCTGTCATATTACTATGTAACTTATTTCATAGAATCATAGGAAAAGCAGATTTGGAAGGGACTCATCAAGATCAAAGGCAACTCCTGGCCCTGCACAGGACACCCCAAGGGTCACACCATGTGCTTGAGAGCATTGTCCAAAAGCTTCTTGAACTCTGTCAGGCTGGTGCTATGACCACTGCCTCAGGGAACCTGTTCCAGTGCCCAGCCACTGGGTGAAAAACCTTTTCCTGATACACAACTTAGACCTCCTCTGACTCACATTCATGCCATTTCTTCAAGTCCTGTCACTGTTCATGAGAGTGATTAGATCAGTACCTGCCCCTCTGCTTCCCCTCAGGAGGATGTTGAAGACTGCAAGAAGGTACCTCCTCCAAGGGGAACAAAATGAGTGACCTCAGCTGTTCTTCTTAAGGCTTCCCCTCCAGAACCTTCACCAACCTCACGGCCTTCCTTTGAATACTTTCTAAGAGCTTCATGGCTTTCTTATACTGTGGCTCTCAGAACTGCCCCCAGCACTGGAGGTGAGGCTGCCCCAGTGCAGAGCAGAGCAGAAGGGACAATCCCCTCCCTCGCCTGGCTGTGATGCTGTGCCTGATGCACCTCAGGACACAGGTGGCTCTCCTGGCTGCCAGGGCACTGCTGACTCATGTTCAACTTGCCACAAACCAGGACCCACAGATCCCTTTCTGTGGTGCTGCTTCCCAGCCTCTCATTCCCCATTCTGTCCATACATCCAGCGTTGCCCATCCCAGGTGCAGAATCCAGCATTTTCCTTTGTTTCAGTTCATGTGGTTGGTGATTGCACAGCCCTCTGATTTGTCTATATTTTTCTGCAGGTCCTCCATCTCTTTGAGGAAGTCAACAGCTCCTCCCCATTTACTGTCATCAGCAACCTTATTTAGGTTCTGCATATTTCATGTTCCGCATCCAAGCCATTAATGAAGATGTTGAAGAGCACAGAGCCGAGGATGAAGCTCTGTGAAACACCGCTAATGACAGGCCACCAGTCTGATGTCACCCAATTCACTATAACCCTTTGCACCTGTGAGCCAGTTGCTCATCCATCTATAATGTCTTTATCCAGCTGTGTGCTGGACATTTTGTCCAGAAGCATATTGTGAGACACAGTATTGAAAGTTTTGCTGAGGTCAAAAATCCACAAGTTTTGTATCAGTTTTTATTATGCAGACTTAGATATCATTTAGATATTGTTAATTTATGAACATCATTTATAATGATGTCCATAAATTATTATAAGTAATTAGTGAAGCCCAAGTGTAAGAATCAAACAGTATTTTCCCAAAACATCTTATCAACAAGCAGTCATTTATTGTAGTAATTTAATTGCATCTGTTTATAATGTTCTTTAAAAGTTTCAGACTTTCCATTTACTTTGAGTAGTATCATTCTTCATGCCAGAAAAATTCTTAAAATGTACACAAAATCCTTAAATTCAGAGGTGATATCCTAAGAAGAGAGACTACAGTAAGAACAATGTTCCATTAGAGACATACGAGCTTCTTAATTCTGTTCACCAGGAGTTAGTTGAGTGGCATAATTCAGTATACTATTCAAGTATAGGAAGTGGTAGGAAAGGTGGAAAACCTTTAGTCACTACTTTTGTTGAAGACTGGCTTCTTGTTTCATAGACTCGTAAGAGCGTCTGAGAAAAATATGCTGTTCTGTTTCCTCTTTTATTCCTGTTTTAACTCATTGTGCAAGTCTGGATTCCTAGACACAGGCAAGGCTGAGGACCAGCCAAAAGAGCAGCCTCACCATCTTCCTTGTCTCCAGCTGTGCAAGCCTGCTGCTCTCTAGCATAGAGTGACCATGCAGTCACAGGGGTGGGTGTACCTAAAAGGGTGTGTGTGTGCCACTGGCAGATGCAGACAAGAGTGGTTCTCCATACAGAAATATTAGGAGCTGTCTTAACCCTACTCTTTCTCCAGTCAAGCAGTAGTGAACACCCCTTAGGAAACAGCGTAATGGAAACTATAGATCCAGTAGTTATGGACCAAGCATTATGATAAAATTTACTATCCTTAAATGACATCTATGATATCACCAGGTTCAAGTCAGCCCTATTCTGTAGAGCACATTACTTTTGGTAACATGCATGGTTTTGGTTTGGGGTTCTTTCTGTGACAAAAGGTGATATGTGCAAATAAGAGAACTAGCTAGCCCTTGTCTAGGCTGCACATATTTGCTATCCCCCTCCCAAAAATCAAGCAGCTCTGAACTGAATTCTGAATCATTACATTACTGAAACAAGACCTACAGCTCTCCTTGAATCATATTGCAAAAATGATTGAAATTAAAAGCTCTTTTACACTTAGAAATAGACAAATCTATTGAGGCTTTTTTAAATGGTATTATATTGAATAACAAACTTATGCCAGTTTGAACCTAGTATAAAGACTACATCCTATGAGTTATCTTAGTTACACCAATTAAAACAATGGGTTTGGTACACACACATTGACACATTAAAATGTAAAATTACTGTGAGTAGGACATAACTCCTTGTAATGAAAAAAATTACACAGGCTTTGAAGTTAAGTATTAAAAGTCAGTTATTAGAAAAAGAAACAGTATAGTAACAATAGTAATAACAGAAAGGACATTTGTTACTATTAGGCCAATGTCATATTCTGTATCAAAACTTCCATGGATTTAAAAGATAATGTAATACCATGCACAGCACTGTTTACTGGTATTTTGACACTTATTTCTACTAGCAGATATATTTATGACCAAGAAAACATTTTAACTTCATTGCCTTCAGCATTTTACTCTACCTTTTTTATAATCTTCCATCAGAAAACAAAAAAAAAAAAAAAAGAAGTGAACTCCCTGCTCTATAAGCAGAAGCATTATAAGAAACTATCAGAATTATGTCAAGGAAGGAAACTAGGACTTTCAAATGTTATGACAATACGGCCTCAACTTTTTTTGTTCACTTTGCAATCTGTTTATAAAACTACTTCTATTGCAAACCTTACGACAGGGAAAGATATACTGCAAAATAAAGTCACATTCGTGCAAAGAATACAAGTTATATAGAATGCCCATTATGCCAAGAAAACTTAAAAATTTAGCTACAAAACATATGACATGGAGCAATGAAAACAACCTTCAGCATCATTACTAAGTTTCTCTACACAGCTTTCCAATGTATAGTAGCAGAGCAGTGGGATTCAGGTTTTGAGGAATACTGCTTTAAGGAAAAAAAATATCTACTTAGAGAAAGCTAATAACTGGAAAGGACAGCTGAGAAGCAGGCAGCTGAGAAGCAAACCTGCTCTGCTGATAGATTTTCTTTTAGTTTAACAACAACAAAAATGTCACAGTGGTCTTCAAAGTCTAATGCAAACATATGCTGTTCAAAATGTGCTCCTAAAAACCCAGGACCTCGTTCCTACAGCTCCTTTTCTCTAGCAGGACACATCATTCACTTCTCAGCATGACAGATGGTCTTCCTCCTTTCTCTGATATTTAAGTAAGCCAGAATAGAAATCCCTTACTTTCCCAGCTCTCCTTAATATCTGGTTGTTACTAGGTGACAACCTGTTTCTGAGCACCCTGTGACTAACTTTCTGAGCTATGTAGCTAATTAACACATCACAACAGCAAAAGCACAGTAGAGGAAAGGTAGTAAAAATGTCAACAGACCAAGGCTTCACATCACAAGCTTGAAGATGATGAAATGAAATTGCCATAATATTTGTTTACTGAGCACAGCTGGTTTGATAGAGACAAATACCATCATTTTCTTCTCTTGCCTAAAATTAAGTTTCTGAGATTCTTTCAAATTTTCATTACACTTAAAAATATTGTCATTAGAAAGCTAGAAGTTCTAATATCTTAGTGAAGACAAAATATTACAGCTCCTTCCAGCAGCTTTGGCATAAATAAAAGAATTCCATAAAGAATTTTCCAACTCTAAGTCTACATTGCATTTATTGGATTGTGGCAAAAAATCCCTAACCAAACATCACACACAAAAATACCAA